TTCCCTCTCCTCCTGCGACCCGAGCCTCTCGTCTTTGCCCCGCTCCCCGGGCTTCCTCCCTCCCTCTGGCCCCCCCAGTGCCATCCACAGGCGGGAGGGGAGACTCCGGGTGGGCGAGGAACTTTGGAAAGCGCCTTGAGGAGGCAGCGCGCTGAGCCTCTGTGCGCACACACAACCCGCACCCTCTCACACCCACACACAAGTCTTCCTGGGTGTGCGCCCCGGGCAGGTTACGTGTCTGTCTCTTGTCTCGGGAGCCCGGGCTCTGGGTCGGTGCCTCTATCCACAGCCTGACAACACACCGCGCTGTCTCTCACACACCTGACCACACACAACGCTCAGGAGGGCTATTCTTGTTCTTCTCATTTTCTTTCTCCAATTGTCTTCTTTGGGAGAAAGAAACTTGCCCTGATGCCAGCCCTGTGGAGCTAGTGTCTACACTGAGAGCTTTTGAACTCCCCTTCTTTTAATCTCCTTTATTGGTACGAGATTAAAGCACTACTATCCCACGTTGTGCAGCTGGGGAGAAAGGGAAATTGAAAAGGGAAAGACTAGGTGTAGGAATGCTGTTTGAAATCTTTTCTCAGACACTGGCATCACATTAATCAGTTGATGTATTCGGCAGGGGACATTGAGTTGCTCTCTGATATGAATCTGTGGATATCTATATATAATACAAATAATACCGAATATTATTGGGCCCAAAATAACCAATTAAGTGATTCATACAAGAGAAAACTTAGATAAAAAAAGAAACTGCGCCCTCTGCTGTTTATTTTGGTAACCTCACCAGGGCACCATTTTTTTTTTTTTTCCAGAAATCCACTTAAGAGTAGGTTGTCATTTTTACAAGGCAAGAGGGGAAAATTCCTAGAGGAGGGATTTGAGAGCAACTTTATTTGGAAAAGTCGCAGGTTGAGTTCTTATTGTTGAATCAGGTGTAGATTTCTAGAGCATAGAAGCTTTTGTTTCCCCTATTCCACATCCTTCTCTTTGCCCAAGGAAGAATGGAGCCACTCCTTATGATAACAGTTTGTCAATCTTTGGAATGGAAAATTCTGAGTAAGAGTCAGAATTTCACCAAACATATGGTGAATCTGGCAGTAGATTTTCTCTAGAAATAAGGCCTCATTTTAGGATTGAAAATACTAAAAGTTATTTTACAGGAATAAAAAAAAGTAAGATTTTCCATCAAATTCATTCATTCAACTATGCTTAGTGGTTAGGATTGTTAGAAAGTTTTCTTTTTTGGGGGGAGGGTCAAGTTTTTTTTTTTTTAAATTTGTCTAGCCTTTGAGGTGCATCTCTAACCTGTGAGAAAATCATCAAGCCCACACTTAATTATTTTGAACTATCACTTTGAATGCCTTACCTGCCCCCTTTTCACTTTGGCAAAGAAAAAACAGCTCAATAACTGTCCAGGATTATTTTTTGAAAATAAACAACTTTCAGGTTTTTTTCATTAAAATAAAATTTTGATCCCTGCTTGTGGATCATCACGTAAAGAAAAAAAAATGCACCAAGGTTTTCACATGCAGTGTTGTTCCAGCTTACATATAAAAGGGATATATTTTCTTTTTAGGTTGCCATAAAATGAAATAACATTTAATCACAAAAGGCCTGCGTGGGGGCATTCAGAATTTCCAGTATCTAGGTGAATTCTATTTGATGATATTTCCTATTGTGTAATTTAAGAAGGGTAATCATGAAAATTTTGAAAAGAAACAACTTGTTTTATTTGGACATAAAGCTATTTTCCTATTAAGATTTTTGTTTTGTCAGCTTTCTCTGGCATTTGGGTTAAAATGATTCAGGTTTGTTTTTTTATTTTTTGGAAGAGACTAATGTATTTTGCAGTTTTCTTTTGTGTGTTTGAAATTGGTGTAAATACTGTCTTCACTTCCATTATTGTTCTGAAAAACATCAGGTGATATGTTAAAAAAAAAAAAAAGTTAAAGCCTTACTTAGTTAGTTAATAGGTTTTCTCAATAAGGATTTGGAGACAGTTTTCAAGTGACCAGAACACCAAGTTACTTGGAAGGAAATAAAATTTCATACAACTTAGGAAACCAATTGTATTTCAGTGTTGAAAAGTGTGTACATATGTGTGAATTGCAGTGTATTATAGGTCAGTAAGTTACTTAGTATACTTTCAAAAATAATTTGTATTTTTATTATCCAGAGTTTGTTTCAAAACTTTAGATGGGTGTATTTGAGAAGTTGGCTCTCTGAACATTCCTGTATGAGAATAAAAAATTTATTGTTCATGTGGTAATTAAACAGATTTCTTCTAGGCTTAACTGATTCCGCAATAATTTTATGTATTATCCCATCCATAGACATTCTGCAAAATGTGTGCTATCTGATTTCTGTAATCAGTCTTCTCTTGGTGAAAATAGAGACCTTTTGATACTAAGGTGTGTTACTTGGTTTTATTAAGAATCTCATGATAGGCAGTTGCTCATAATACCCAATCAAGTATGACTAGAATATGCCAATGATGTTTCAGTACACATTAAATTCCTTATATTTTGAGAGCAGTTAATAAAAAGACGCCTATATTTCCCATTAAGAATACTCAAAGATACCTTCTTCATGACAAATATGTGCAAAGAGCATTCAATATATGTTAAAACATCTCATGTAATAAATCTCATTATGATCATATGGGAAGTTGCTAATTTTGAGAGGTTATAGAATTTGTGTCTTTTTTTCCTCTTATTTTTCACTCAATGGAATCTGATTATAGTCAATTTTTCTTTTGTTCCTTTCCATTCAGAAACATGCATATTTATAAAATTCTTAATGTCTATAAAGAATGAGTCAATAGCTGTCTATTTCAGGTGCCCCTGAAGAGCTGAATATTTATGGAATGAATAGCCTACTACTACCACCCCCACCTCCTAGTGAGATTATATAATAAAATGAATGCTGAAAGCTAGATAGAGTTAGTAGATTTACTGGCAATATTTTTCTCTCAGTTGATGAAATTGACAGTTGCTTTTAGAATAGAATACAATTGTTTATCATTTTAATTATTATTACTTTCATTAATATTTTGTGAGGATTTTTATTTTATTTTGTTTTTACCACTCTGAGTGAAGGGCCCGTGAAATGCCTTTTTACAAAGTGAATCCAAGGTGGAAAGGGATTAGATAGAATCTCAGAAAAATATATATTTCATGTATGCAAAGCCATTTTATAGCCCATTTTAGCCCTGATCAATAATATCTATGAACTTCAGGGCCGTGCCATAATTTTGCATATTTTTATTGGCTTTCCAAATTTATACACCAGAGTTCTATGGAGTACTCAGGGCTTATTAACGGGTATTTTTTTTTTTTCAAAGAGGACCTCTTAGTCCTAAGTTCACAGGTAGAGATGATGGCATTATTTGATTACAGTGAGTTCCCAAGGTTGGCAAAGTAAGAACTAAAGCTGGGACAGCCCAGAGCTCTTTTGAAGCTATCCTTACTTAGGCGATCCAGGCACTTGAGACAAATTCAAAAGCCACATTACTTGGCAATTAGTTCAGTTATGGGCCAGAAGGGATACCTTCAGTATATTAAGTCCCCAAATATGTCATTGACTGTCCTTCTCATAATCGGTTTGCCTAGCTATTTGCCATGATGACCTAGCTCTTAAGAAGCTATTGATATTTTTAACCTGGTGGAAAGCATGGCCAGATGGGAACCAGGGCCATTAGGTAATAGAGGTCATGGCGTAAATCATATTCTATTTGTACATCATTTTATTTTCTTTGAAAACTCCATAATTATGCTTCAATAGCACATTCCTGATTTTCACAGAGGTTTTTTTTTTTTTTTCCTTTGTGTGTCATGGAAGTTCATAGATTTAAATCCTCACTAATTTGAAGTTAAAATGATTTTCTTTGCTATGTGTGTGGCACTGAAAAGTTAGGAGACCCTGAAATGAAGGAAGTAAGAGAGGCTAAAAATGTAAAAATGAGAATAAAAAATCAAATAATTATTTAAAAAAAAACAGCTCAGTGACCCTCTGTTCTTGATCTGTAATATACTGTGGTCCATATCTTTTTCTGTGTCAATGGGAGCTCATTAAATGTAAATTCTGCAGACTAACTGAGCCATGCCATATTAGTGCTTGCCAAAGCTTGACATTTTTAATACATTAATAATATGTCTGTAATGTAATGGAAAACTATTAATCACAACTGGTTATATGCCAGAAATTTAAGCTATAATTGGCTGCTTCTTGTCAAGAATGTCTGTCGCACAGTCCTGCAACTGCCTAATATTCAAATATCTTGCACTCCTCTGCATTTTTTCTTGTCAGTTCTCTAAATTCGATCAATGGTGTAGTCCATAATTCTGTGTAATGACCATCATTATAATTCTGATATAATTTAATGAGAATTCGTTATATTGGGATTACTGTTGTATCAGAATACAGTAACAGGTCCACATACATTTCCTTAGTGTCCAAGTTTTTCATATACAAACCTATGATCACTCTTTTATTTTGAAGTGGAAGTAAAGCAAAATGTGGATGAGGACAAACTATCTAAGAATAAATGGATTTAGGGAATAATATTGGTTAAGAAAAGTGAAGACTAATCTCAGAGATCATTCAAATATATATTTGAAGTCGTAATCTTGACATAAAATTATGAATTAACACATAATGCTCCCTCAGTTCAGATTCAAAACAGTTTCGAGTTTTCAAGACTATATCGTTCTTGATAAATAAATTGCTGTATATTTGAAAAGATGAATTGAAGTTAATAATTTCTGACCTAGTTGATTTTCACTGCTTCACTTATTTAATGTTCACTACCTTCACACGTTACAGTGTTTGTTTCTTCTTACAATAGTAAACATGGTTGAAAAATGCCTTCAGAAAATGTGGATATATATCATTTTAACACCTTTTCAGATTATTAATTGTCAAAGTGTTGAACAATTCTGAAAATATCAACTTAAAATTACTAATGAGTCTGAACAAAGCAGAAGGCTATAGTAGCCACAACACATGCTCCTCTGTGATTCTGTTTCTTTTTAACTTAAGATTTCAAAATGTTCTCAGCACAATATAGTCTTTACAATTCCAGAAAGAGACAGATTCAAATCTTAGTTTATACGTGTTTAGACACATTGTTAATTATTGCTTCCTAGACCTCAAATATTCAACACTTTTCGTAATAGAAAATATCACAAATTGCAGCTGTATGATAACATTTTATGAATCGAATATAATGAAAATTGCACTTGCATCCATAAAGCAATTATTATAAATTACTTTGCTATGGAAACACAATTCAACCATCTGTTGGCATTTCATAGTCTCCGTGGCTTAGTTCATTTTAAAATGGTGCATTATTTAAATATAGTAAATTCCTTTATAAGATTGTTTGAAGATAGTGAACTTCCATATTTAAACTATTTAATGTGTATCAAAGGGTCTATAGTGGATTTTCCAAAGCTGTAGATTTTTTTTTCTCCTTTTTGAATCATTTAAGAAGTAGTTAATAATTTAGACTATGAATATGAAACAAATAATTAATAAAGTTCATTTGCTTTTAACACCTGGATTTAAATGTTAGCAATTGTTTAGATTTAGATAGTGGTATCTAGAGAGAAAAGTTGCCAGTTAAACTCTTCAATGAGTTGTATCTGTAGTTAAGTAAGCTGTATTATCAGTTTACCAAAAGTATGTTTCAATGGTAATTTTTATTTTTTTCTTAGAAATAGTGCCATATTATTTTGCTTCATGGCCTGTTAACTCACCCTCAGCTATTTTTATATGTGCATTTTAAATTGTGCATTTTACTACAGAGCTTTACTTTTAAAGTAGCATATAATATTTGCCTTTGGGACAAATTCTCTTCTGTTACAGAAAATAACTGCAAATGCAGATGTAATGCCTATAAAAAATATGTAAGAAAACAGAAAATTCTTATGAAAGGAAGATTTGCTCCTTGGTTTTATTTTTTATTTTATTTTTTTTTTCAGAGAGCCAAGTTATCTTTATCAGTAAATGCAACTAAACAAAAGATGCTAAATTCTCCCAACATAATGAGCAAATCCAAAGGGACAGGCTTGTGGCAACAATGCTAGTTTTCATTCTGGCTAACAAAAGCTAAGAAATGTACAAGGAACTTGGAGATTCTTAGACTCTCTTTGCCAAGAGACAAAAGGCATACAAGTGGTTGTCATTTCTTTGTCATTGTTATAAAAGCATTTATTTCCCTCATTGTCTGCTTAGAAGACTTTCTAGCAGTGCGATATGTGAGAAATGTTTAAATCTAGCAGCTTGCTTTCAGTTTAGTTCAGATGGAAATAATTTTTGAAGCGAAAACCTGTAACTCACCTGGAACACACACACATCTGTCTTTGCTAGGGAAGAGTTAAATCCTTCATAACAGATCTCCCCTATGTGAATGATTTCCCTGGTTTGCTCATTCTAGCAAAGCAGCTGAGTAAAGGTTATCCAGATTACACCAATTTGCTTGATATTGCATCAAACCTCCAAAATGTCAACATATCATACACTTCGTAATGCATTGACTCCGGGACAATAACTCTTACTCTTATTGTTTCTTAAAGGGTGTTGGTGCCAGAAGAAAAGGATGATTGATGGGAAACAGACACCGGATGACAGACGCACATCCTTTTGCTTCCGATACTGATATCTCAGCGGCGCCTGGGCAGCCCTTGTGAACCGTGAGCATTGAGGATCACTCAGGGTTATCGGATGTACAATGGGAGAGCCATCACTTTGCTAAATTATTATCTGCTATTGGACATCTTTTACAAAAACCAAACTCGATATGTTCTAGGACGACGAAAATGCTCCAAGTTGCTGTTAATGCCTAACACACAAGTATGTTAGGCTTCCACCAAAGTCCTCAATATACCTGAACGCGCACAGTATCTTAATCCTTCACATCTGATTTTGGATTCTGTTTTTGAGGTCTGATCCTCTTTTTTCTTTTCTTTTCTTTTCTTTCTTTTTAAAAATATACAGACCTATCTACATAAAGACATATATATATATATATCTATATATATACACAAATATAAATATATATAAACAAATGTATATGTAAAATAGACAAAGATTACAGATAAATCACGAAGATTGCAAAGAATTTAGAGATGTATTTGTCAAGATTCCTGTCCATTCATGCCCTTTGGGTTACAGTGTCTTCAGTGATGCAGCCCTACCCTTTGGTGTGGGGACATTATGATGTGTGTAAGACTCAGATTTACACAGAAGAAGGTAAAGTTTGGGATTACATGGCCTGTCAACCAGAATCCACGGACATGACAAAATACCTGAAAGTGAAACTGGATCCTCCGGATATTACCTGTGGAGACCCTCCTGAGTCCTTCTGTGCAATGGTGAGGCAACCCTTCTGAGTAGAGTATTTCCCCTAAAGGGGTTGAATTGCATATGAATATGAATGTGGTGAATGTGAAGGCTCCTTTCATGTAGAGCTGAATCTGCAGGTGGCAGGTTGTGTTACCTGGCTAGTCATTCTCTGTGGAGGTTTGAACTACCTGAAACTACATTTGCACAGTATAATTGATGCACTAGAACTTTCTACTTTCAATTGAAGGTTAAGTTTCAGATTGGAGTTTGGGAATATGATTAGATCATATGTGTTATGTTAAGGAGAAAATCCACTGGCAAACTTTAAAAAATTGCAAAGGTTTCTTAACATGCATATATGAAGCCAGCCCCAGGTTCCATGATTCCAGGTTAGATTCCTTCTCCTGCTTTCCTTCATTAGAAAGCAGCTATGATTTGGAAGTCCTTGGTTAGGAGACCAGTGAGAGGAAAAGCAGAGGAGAGAGGGACTAAAGTCTCCCAAGATGCTTTTTCAGAAACGCCTTATTTGCCAACTCATGCAGTCCCTTATCATCTAGGATCACAGTTTTCTGTGGATGTTTTAAAAGTGCTTGTTGGAGATCATATTTGCTGAAAATAATGACCTGGGTCATACAAATTCAGATACTCTCCTTTTGATAAGCAAAGTTACAAAAATGTATTGTTCTTATGTGTCTTTTTTTTTTTTTTCCTGGGTGGAAAGTTAAATACTATGTGAAAAGATAGCTTTGGAGGAAAACACTGAATTTCAACTAAGGACATAGCTGAAAATATACCTACAAAGTAGTAATGAAGAGCTTGGTGATTAAAATGGTGTCAGTTAATGTGCCAAGGAATTCAGACACTGTGTTCATTTGTTTTAGGTGGCTGTTTTTTATTATAGACCGTCTTTGTTGGATACAGGAGCTGTGATCCCATTTTTCTCCATGTAACAGATAGAATCCTATGGCAGATTTTAATAGTATTCTTACCTGACTTTATTATCTTGAACCTGGCCTGGCATTTTCAGGATAGTGAAACTATTAATCAAAGTAGCATCTGCTCACAGTCCCCAGTGAGTTAAATTAGCATAAGATCATCTTAGCCTGAGCACTATAGAAAAGGTTTTGTAACAGGAAACAATTTTGAGCAATAAAGAGTGTTTTCACCTAAAAGCTAAGGGCTTGCCATTTTTCAGAAGTGCCTTTGGGGACTGGTTTGAATTATAGTCTAAACCTGATTTTGTGGAGAGTGAGAAAAAGAGCTTGGCTATTAGGTGTCACTATGACTAAAGTGCCCTGAAAGACTAAATATTTCAAAAAGAGGACCCGTCTCTTTGGCAAACAGGTATGTGCTTGGCAAAGAAGTTATATTTTAGAAACCACAGGCTTCTGGAGAAGTATATTCAAACATGTTAGTAAAACTATAATAAATCTGTAAAAAAAGTGGGTACATTTGTTGACTTTATATAAGGTCTTTAATAATTTCTCATGAAAGGTCAAATATAAGATCTCATTTCAAATCTGGGATGAAATTGCTATTCAGGTGATAGGTTGTGCAATCTTCTACTCCTTCTAGCAGAGGACAACTTCTGGGTCAACTCTTCATATTATTAAGAACACTGTAGCTCTATATATTGGTTTGCATGATACTTATAACAATACGCCTTTTCTAGCATTGTTTAATAATTTACAGATCCAAGTAAAATAGAAAATATCTTTTTTAGGGTGCCATTTCTGCTTGCACAAGTCCTGTATAATGTGTTCAAGGTATGATTTATATGTGCAGTTTGCCTGGTCTCAGCCTCTGGCCAGAGTGCTTGCTCAGCACTGCTCCTGTCCCTCATGTTGAAGGTATACCTAGCATGGTATCTGCAGCATGCCTCTTTCTCCCATTATAAGAGGAAAGGGCACATTAACAGGTCTTCCTTTGCTGCCTTTCAAAGGGACATGGCCTACGTTTCTTAAACAAGATAATTCCTACCAGTCTACTGGCTAAGTGATGTTGGAGGCCAAATGGGAAAAAAAAAAAAAGAATTAAAATGATGTCCTTCAGCTGGCATTCAGGACAGTAAGAGGAATACTTTGCATGTGTACAGAAAAGTCCACAGAATAGTGTCAAAAGCCTTGGTGGATTTAAACTTGTCATTGAGTTTTATAGTTTTCCAAGGGAGAGTGTAAGGCTTGTGAGATGTTACCTATCAATCCTTAATTTGTAGTCCTTAATAAGCATCTGATTGGCTTAGTAGATTAAATAATCTTGCCTTTAAATTGCACACTTTAGGACTATTTGTATGTATATTACATGCCAAGTCAATGATAATGGCCTAGTATAACAATACTTCTATGTTTTGGATTTTCTGAAAAACTCTTTTGTTTAAGGGTTCCTGACATAAGAGTATAAAACTGTCTTGGGATACTGTTATATCAGACCTGTTTAGGTGCTCCTTAGCCCAAGGTCTAATTGGGATCCATAAATGCATTTGTGTTATGACTTACACGTTAGTCCCTCCTTGACACTTGCATCCGCTGAGCTACATTCCCATCCCGACCCTTGCGTCCATACCTGCTCCCTGCAAGTCATTATAGCCTATTACATCAGGGTAGCTGCCAGAGAAGCACAATCACTACTTAGCCCCTATATGCAAATGTTTGCTGCAAACAGTTTCACTTGCTCAGCTAGTGACACCCTTATTAGCTATGACTATAGCACTGTTGAGTACCAAGAGGACATTAGGTCATAGAAATGCCTTATAATTCCCATAGCTGATTTGTTTAATATAAAATTAAAGCTCACTGGCTCTGCATTAAGAATCTGTGTTACTTCTTTTTGCCTTTGCTCCATCATTATATGCCAGTGACTATCCATGAACTTTGCAGTCATTTTAATATAGAGTGAAATTTTAGAAGAGAAACATATGATTCCATTTTATAATAGGTCTTTGCTTATTAACCTGAATGACATATTTAATAAATCTTCAGTGTCAAGTAATTTGAAATGTTGTGTATTCATTGTCCAAATATTTGTAGACATTAGTTTTCTGGGAGAATTAAAGAAATAGTAGAATAAGGTGATAACATATATACCAGTTGTACATTTTGAAAGCTATGTATCTTCTTTTTAATTTATCATATTCTTTTTAAGTTTATAGTGGCTAAAAAATTATGCTTTTGCTAAGGGGGAAGAATCTGAAGGGAAGAGGAGAACTAAGCATTTTTATTTTTAAGTCTGGGAAAACATGCTTGTGTAAATCCTGTCCTTTTGTCCACATGACAAGCTTCAGGTAGCATATCTTTGTCAGAAAACACAGATCATTCAGTGACAAGTTGTTTCAATTTGCATAAAGAGCAGGAAGAATGATCTGAACCCACGTGCAAAGCCAAAGTGACAACACAAAGCTCTGACTTGTTCTTTGTGTTTAGACGAACTTAGCTGTCATCTCTCCTTGCAACACCCCAGTGGCTTAAAAATGGCAAAATTATCTGCAATTATTTCCAGCCTGAAGCTAATTTTCTGGATAAGTTAAACAAAAGCTTTGAAAGGAGCCTACAGACGGAAGTCATATGCATGTGTACGATTTATGGTGCAGAATTGCTGATGACGGTGGAAATGGGAGCCCTTCAGTGCTGCCATGGATTTCAGAGCCAATCAAAACTAAATTAGGAAACAAAGATTATTAAAAAGTCTTTTGTGCATGTAGTTTGGGCATAATATTATGAGGTGGACATTAAATGTTTCCCTTGGAGACTTTCAGCATCATTAATGCAGCACGCCTTTAATTACAAGCAGAACCATATTACTAAAAAAAAGGAGAAAATAAAGTACTCTAAGGTGTAGTTAGCAATGCCCTCATTGTGTTTACTGAAATAATTAAAAGAAAGGGTATAATTTTTCTAAATAAAACGTCAGAATTTGAAATGAAAATGGATTTTCTGTAGGAAATTTACTAATGTGTGCTACACTCTTGATAGGCATTTATTCAAGTACCTTAATAGGCCTATTAATGATCACTCCATATTGTGCTATTTCAAAATAGACTCCTATTAAGAAAAAGAATCTTTAATTACTGCAAGCATCGTGGATAGAGCATATTTTATTAAGTTCAAATGAAATTTACAAAAGTCCTAGAAAGCCTTTGTGTTTTATGACTTCAAAGAACCCCGGGGAGTGAGTGGTAATGCACAACCTCTCAGGGCCATCCATAACTTCAATTCCTGACTTGACGTCGTCTCAGGTTGCCATCTGGTGGCTATCAGGTGGCCTTTGAGAAATTAATTTGATAAACTTGGTTACATTTTCAGTGACAAGGGATTAATATCAATTTTCCCAAAACTGGAAATGACATTGACTTACATAATAATTGAATAATCTTAAAAATACACTCTGTTCACATGAAACATAATTCAATAAATGAATGAAGTTTTAATGACAGTGACATCTTTCATTTGAACTGATTTATCCCTTAATTATGCCAGAGTGGAATTTTTAAAAAACCTTCATTTCTTTCATTATGAACGTCTCATTATTATTAGTTCATTATTTAGACGTATTTCTTAGAAAAGTTTAATTCATGTTTGTACTGAATTAAGTTCCACAGGGATCAATCTTTCTGATTTATCACCACATCCAGTGAATAGTTGTTGAGGAGCCTCCCATAGCTCTGTGTTATCTATTTCATCAAGTATAAAGTACTCTACCTGCTTTTTAAATCTGAGTTCATGAAGCCTTATTTTCTAATACTTTCCATTAGGACCCATGACATTTCTAGGGGATTTAGGGCTGGCAATCTGATTGGAAGGGTACTACTGGATTTGGGTTGAAGCTGCATTGGCATAACATGCATGGTTTATGGGGGTGGTCTGAGATGGAACTGATAAAAATTAAGGCAGGAGTAAAAGAACTTTAAACTATCTCATGTCATTTATTGTTCTGAGATAGTATTTCCTATATGCACAAGTGCTTTCGTCTCTGTAGAGCTAATGCTTCACAGGTATAATTGCAGACAGCTGTGTACAAAGTAAAATGAACAATG